CAGATTTAACCCCGATAACTGTTCTTGTTTAACGCACCATTGACAGTTAGCGGCACTGAGCTCCTTTAAAAACACTAACAGCAGGAAAACAGAGTGTGCCGTTGCTGTTGGGATGAGGCCTCGCTGGCACACAGTCTTGTGGTTATTATTTTAGTGTCTGTGTTTGTTCTCTCAGTGAATTGTTTGAGACTTAATTGGCACATTTTGTGCAGCGATGAGCTTCACTTGATGTTATCGTCTTTGTCTTACTCATTTGTTCTCTTGTGCAGTGTCTTCTTGTGGGCGCTTTCCTGTCATCCATGTAAATATTCCCAAGTCAGAAGGCATCAGATTATTCCTCTGGGTCTGCTCTGACTTGCACAATCAGCAAACGATGCACAAACAACAACATTAAAATAAAAAGAGTATGTCTATAACCTTAGTTCTTTCCCTCAAAAACAGGAAACTTCTTGTTTTAATTACCATCAGCCTCAATAGCTCAAAGGAAAGAAAACACCATCATTATAAATCCATTTGCCTTTTTCCCAGCAGTTTGCCATCAAGCGCTGACTGACTGACTGACTGACTGAGTGAGTGAAGCCCGCTGCACTACCCCGTCTCGTCTCGCCGTGGCACCGCATCAGCAGCTGTCAGGCTATTAAAGATCAAGACCTCGGAGTTAACGCTTGGTAACTGTTACAACTGGATTTAGGAAACACCGTTCAGACCTAATCGAGCTTAGACCGGCTTGGGAGGGCTGCAGGGCGGCCAAGAAGCCACGGATTGCCCGTTGACAAGTTGTCATCATGGGCAACGCGCCCACGGCCAGGAAAGGCAGCGAGATGGAAAGCGGTGGGTACCATCACTCCTGAGCAGCACCTGCTCGGTCACAGCCTCATGAAACGATCAGGGACGAGCTCATACAGCGGGCTATGTTGGCTTTACATAACAAGCCATACACTGATAATTAGAGGCCTTGTTCCTGCTTTCCAGTTCATTAAAATCCACTCGTACGTCCATGATAAGTCCTTGATGCAAACGAATTAGCTTGTGCCAATTACCTAAATCTGATTAATTTAAATGAAGGAGTATTGAATGTAGATGAGAGGGAATCTGTCTTCAAGTGGGGGTCAAAAGTAGGATGAAACAGGATGTAGTGCTGTGTCAATAGCCAAATCTCTGTAAGAGCTGCAAAACAGCCAACAGCTCGATTGTAAGCTGCAAGCGTCTTGGCATTATTCACTGTACTGTAATACTGGCAGTATCACAACAGTGTACTGTGTGTGTGTCAGATATGTCCTACTACCTACTATATGCTACTGAAACTGTGTGGGTGAGCTGAATGTAATCTATGTGAGGACTGTTTGGTTTAGTGCACCCTTAAAAGTCTGCAGGTTTGGCCGAGCTGGTCTGAGTGTGTCCCCTGTAAGGATGTGTGTCCCCTGGAAGGAGGAGAGTATGCTAATGTCCAAGGCTTCCTGGAGTAGGTATATGCCAGGGCTTTTTACCATGGCACATACAATACAGACTGATATTTACGTTTCTAGTAGCAGTGAGGAATTTAAGAAGTGTATGTGTGTGTGTGTGTGTGTGCACATCCTATGAAAAGAGTGCATGAAAATATGGTTCAAGAAGAAGAAAGTCTAGATCTTTCCTTGTGCTTTATTCCTGAGCTGAAAGTGAACTAAGTTTAAATAATTTATTTGTTTATTTTCAAGTTTAGCTTTCTCTAAGGGAATAAGAGATACTCCAATATTGCACAGAAGCAGCGCTATTCGGACTTTTAATTCCTAGTATGAGCGTAGCTTCATAATTACTGGAACCTACAATTCCCATAGTGCAACTGAAATAAGTGGAGTGTCCCTTTAAGATTGTTGTAGAGGCAGTATATAAAGAATCAGCACATTTGGTATTATATATTCTCCCTGTCCTGCCTCTACGAGTCTCCAGTGGATTAACTGAGCTGCATGTCCTTACAAATCTTGACACACAGACACATGATCCTTGTCTCCTTATAATCTGTGTTAGTTGTGACTAGTTGATTTTAAGAACACAGTTTAATCTCAATATAGATGAGTTTGTCCTACTGGGTTAAGGTGCAATACTTGTGTTTGAAACCAGCGTGGCAGCTGTTTGCAACTCATCCCTGGGTTATCTTAAGGTTTCCTTTTATGTGCTGTCTATCTATCAGTCCAGAAATGATCAAACAAGAAAAGGCATGCATTCATAACAAATATAAAATGTAAGCAAGAGGTAAACGGCATTAACTGGGATATATTTCTTAAAAAAACACTGAACCTCTGCATTCGATTTCGTAGAGTGTAGGAGGTATCCTACTATTTACTACCCTGTTTCTTTCACTCTTTACACACACACACGCACACATACACACACATATTGCTGAAGCTTTTCTTGTGGTTTTGTCTTCCACAGTCAAGGAGTTCCTTGCTAAAGCCAAAGAGGACTTTCTCAAGAAGTGGGAGAACCCTGCACAGGTTAGTGTTCGGACGTTTGTTCATCCAACGCAACAGGAATGTGACAATTATATTCTCTAATGTAATCAACTTTTTTTTGCTTGCGTGCATACAAGCATGAACTATAGGAGTCTGTGTGACCAAAGATACCACGTAGATGTGTGCCATGCTGTCTACAATTCTTCTTGCAATTTAAAAATACCAGCTGTCGCTTTTCTTTTTGTTCTGCCGGCTGACAGTAAATGTTACCTACATTTTTAATATATTTGGATATTGAAATAAAGCAAGGGCCAAGTAAAATATGTAGTCTGGTTATTTAGTGTTATATTTTATTGATTTAAATCATCATATTGTGATGATATGATCACATTGTCAAATTCGATCAGAAAGTTATTGATTTCAAGCAACTTATACCGATTTATTTTTTTACACGTGTAAAGAGTTTTGTTGAATGTTATGAACACTGAACATTAAATTTGTTATTTTATATATTATTTTTTATACATCTTTGCATATCATAGACAGTATAGACATTTAAGATAAATTATTTTGATGATCCATATTATGTACTGAGTTTAACTGTATCATCCAAACCTAAAAATAAGATGAAGTTAGAAGTTATTTTCAGATCCACTGCCCCAAAATATGATTAATACTTCTGTTTTGTATCACTGGCAAGTAAAAGGGGAACTTTTCACTTTGACTCAGAAAGTTATGAAAAATAAGACACTTGACATGTAACAGCGTGACAGCTTTTTAAAAATATATATAAACCTTGTGTAGATAGATTTTACAGAGTTATATCATAGTATTAAATATGAACGGCATCCTCATATAGGGTCTGTATTAATATGCTCGTATTGCATGCTATAAACATATACAGTACTGTTTATGCATACATACCATGTGCATACACTTGACTGTGCAAAAATGTACATAAGGACATAAGAAACACATTTCACTTCCCACACCATCCCATTTTCACAAAAATCAACTAAGCCTTTTTGTTTTGTCTGTTCAGAACACTGCTTGCCTGGAGCAGTTTGAGAGGTTGAAAACCCTGGGCACGGGCTCATTTGGCCGTGTGATGCTGGTGAGGCACAAAGAAACAGGACAGCATTATGCCATGAAGATCCTCAACAAGCAGAAGGTCAGTCTGGTTCATGGGTCAGGAAGGTCACAGTGGGATAGAGGGTATTTAAATGTATGTCATTTCAGGACAATGACGGGATCCTACAGGAGGGTCATTGAAAATATGGAAATGTCATTGATGTGAAAATTGTACTCTGTAGGCTCAAATACAGGTGCAAGCCTTTTTTCCCTTTGATTCTCTTTGAACCCGACTGGAGTGTCAGAGCCGAGGTCGTCTTTGTGCAGATCACATCAAGTAGAGTAATTTGGGTACCCAATTTAGTAAAAAAAAATGTTTCCTGTGATCCCGCCCACCCCCCTCCCCTCTTAAGTCATAAAATTCATAGATACATATTTTTATAGATAAAATACACATATGGGCCTGTCTGTTTTTGCCTAATTGGCTAACCCAGTGAATTTAAAACCTGAAAACCATGGTTCTTGATTTGCAGTCCAAAG